GGCTTCCCAGCTCATTCGTTTTGAAAAGAGGTAGACCCCTGTCAAATGGCCGCCACTCTTTTATCCAAATGGCCGTGTTACAGGACTCCAGCCCACTCTCCTTTTACCAAAATTCTAGGTCCATGCTTTCCCGAAAAATGATACGTGAAAGACCCTCGGTTACCATTCTTTCCAAAGACCATGATATGAAAACCCCCAGCCCACTCAATTCCAGAACGTGAATTCTAGGTGACTGCCTTTCTGTCGTGCCTTTCTGTCGTATGCCAACTAAAAGATGACGCAGGTCTGATGGAATAATGACGCAGGTCTGACTTTTAGAACTCAACACTCGATTCCAGAAGTAGAATACTAGGCAAATGCTTTTATGTCGCGAAATAAGTGAGTTGAGAGAGCTTCTATCTCCAGATCTGACGAAGGAACACCTGCTGGATCTGCTGGCACAGAGATGACGTGACGTCAGACTCAAATCTGACTTTACTTTTAGGACTTAATTTCTGAACTAGAACGCTAGACGAATGCGTTTGTGTCGTGAAATAAGTTGGCCAACTGAGGGAGCATCTGTCACCAGATCTGACGAAGGAGCACCTCCTGGATCTGCTGGCAGAGGGGCCACATGACGTCTGGCTCAAGTCAGACTTTACTTTTAGGACTCTACTATTTCGGAACTAGATCGCTTGGCGAATGTGTTTGTGTAGTGAAATAAGTTGGGCCAACAGCCAAATGAGGGAGACTCTGTCGCGGATCTGATCTATCTGCTCTATCTGCCGTATCTGCTGCTCAGGTCCCAAGGGAGGAACAAAAGGAATCGTACTTTAAACCTTTTTTTTAAATTGCTTTTTTTTCAATTTAAAATTTTTGAAAAATTTTTAAGTATTAAATCTTATTTTTTAGAACTCTTGGGAGATTTCTCGAATCTCGTTTTATGACCAATTTTTTGCTGTTTAACTTGTGTGGGTACTAACTTTTTATTGTTTTTTTTATTTTAATTTTTGAAAAAATAGTATTAAATACTTTTTTAAAGAACTCTTGAGATTCTCGAATCTCGATATGCCATTATTGTGTTTTATTGATGTTTGTATAATTTTTATTGCTTTTTTAATTTTATTTTTGAAAGTATTAACATACTTTATTGAAGAACTCTTGGGGATTCTGACATGGGGGAGGGAGCTCGTGCGTTAAAACTGCAACCGATCGATGGCCAACGTCTTCGGAGCTGGACAATGTCCCTCGCGAAGCTCGGGGAGCGGGCGCTGTGGGGGCGAGCGAGCTGAGCGGACGGCCGGCCGTGCACTGGCTGCACTGCGCCAAGCGAGGCCGAGCGCGGACCCTGGCGGAGGCTGCGGCTGCTGTGGAAGGGCAGCACTGGGCAGCCGGGCGGCGTGGACGCCCAGTGGCGGCCTTCGTGTGCTCGCCAGCGACGCGTGGCGCGCGCGGCCACTGCCGGTGCACGCGGCGGGGCGCGGGAGCGGGCGCGGCGCGTGGCGGCTGCGGTCGGGCTTGTGGTCGGGAGGCGGGATGGGCAGAAGCAGTTCCTGTTGCCCTGGCCAGAGGCGCGCGCAAGCGCGAGCCCCCAGCGGTGGGCCGTCACGGTGCGGCGCTGCGACACCGGCACCCTGCTGCAGAGGCTTTCGGAGGCTCCAGGTAGGCCTTCCCACAGGTAGGCTCGATACTTCCCAAAACGCCCGGTGAAGTAGCGTCTCATTCCTCTTATTTTCTTATAAAGGCCACGTATCTAGGTTCACGATCCTAACGTTGCCAAAACTATCTTCAGCCAATCCCTTTTTCTAAAAGCCACAGCCTCTCCCTTATCCAGATTGGGACTCCCTGCTCGTCTCAGGTAGGGCCTTCCCTGAGGTAAAGCTCCAGTCTTCACAAAATACATTGAAGTAGTCCGCCTCATTCCATTCCCTTCTCATAAGGTCACGATCTGGTCATGACCCCTACCCGTCCACCAAGACACAAGTATCCCCTCAGCCAACCTTCTTTTTCTCAAAAGCACAGCCTCTCTCCCTTATCCCAGACTGGACTCAACTCTCTGCCGTCCTCCAGGTGGCCTTCCTGAGGTAGGTCTCCAGTCTTCCCAAAATCATCTTGAAGTTAGTCCTCATTCCTCTTTCTTCTATAAAGGCCACGATTAAGGTACTGACCCACTTACGCATTCCACCAAGATCACAAGTATCCCTCAGCGACTTTTTTTCTAAAAAGCCACACTCTTCCCCTTATCAGATTGGATTCAACTCTTGCTCGTCTCCAGGTAGGCCCTTTCCCACAGAAGACTTGAGACGTCCAAACGTCGTGAAGTAGCGGTCCTCATTCCTTCTTCTTCTTATGTCAACTGCCCCTACCCATCCACCCAGACACAAAGTATCTCAGCCTATCCCTTTTTCAAAAGCCAAAGCTTTTCCTTATTCAGACCTGGAGCTAACTCTCTGCTTCGTCTCCAGGTGAGGCCTTCCACAGGAACGACTCGAATACTTCCAAAACGCCGTGAAGTAAAGCGCCTCATTCCTCTTCTTTCTTAAGTCACTGCCACTAACCCCATCCCACCAGACCACAAAAGTATCTCTCAGCACCCTTTTTAAAAAGCCAAAGCTTCTCTCCACTTAATCAGATTGTCTCAACACTTTCTGCTCGTCTCCAGGTTGGCCCTTCCAGAGGTAGCTTCGAGGCGTCCAAAACGTCGTGAAGTAAACCGTCCTACTTCTCTTCGTCTTCTATAAAGGGTCACGATTCTAAGGTCACTAACCACTACCCTTCCACAAAGCATCCTTCAGCCAACACCTTTTCTAAGAGTCACAGCTCTCGCTTATCAGACTGGACTCACTCTCTGCTCGTCTCGGTAGGCTCTGCCCAGAGGTAGCTGCCAGTCTATCCAAATACCGTGAGGTGTCCTTCATCATCCAGAAGTGTACTGATGTATCTGATGGCAAGAGTGACGTGACGTTCATACTCACATATGACTTTACTTTTAGGACTTAATTCCCTGACTAGAACGCTAGACGGAATGCGTTTGGTGTCGTGAAATAAGCTTGGAACTGAGGGAGCATATGTTACGCATGATTGACGAAGCACTGCTGGCCCAGAGGGGCCACGTGACGTCTCGCTTCAGGTCAGACGTTCCTTTTAGGGCTCTACTATTCAATTTCGGACTAGAACGCTTGTCGAATGTGATTTGTGTAGTGAAATAAAGTTGGGGCCAACTGAGGCCCAAATGAGGGAGAATTCTGTCGGGATCTGTTATCTATCTGCTCTATCTGCCGTAATCCTGCTGCTCAGGTCTATCTGCTGGAATCTGCTGAGAGGGGCGTAACATGCGACGTCCCGGCTCTAGTTCAGACTTTAAATGAGGGAGCATCTGTCACTAGATCTTGACGAAGGAAGCACCTGCTGGAATCTGCTGCAGAGGGGTCCTACTTGACGTCAGGCACAAGTCCAAGACTTTACTTTTAGGACCTCTAATATTAATTTTTGGAACTAGAAAAGCTTGGAGCGAATGCGGTTTGATGTAGTGAAATAAGTTGGGCAACTGAGGGAGCACTGCCACAGATCTTGACGAAAGGAGCACCTGCTGGATTGTTTGGAGGGGGGCACATTGAGTCAGACCTAAGTAAGACTTTACTTTTAGGACTCTAACTATTAATTTTGGGAGCTAGAAAGCTTGGAGGAATGCGTTTGTGTAGTGAATAAGTTTGGGCAACTGAGGGAGCAATCTCCACAGATCTACGAAGGAGACTGCTTGGCAGAGGGGGTCACTTGACGTCAGGCTCAGTCAGACTTTACTTTTAGGATCTACTATTAATTTGGAACTAGAAGCACTTGGAGAATGCGTTGTGTAGTGAAATAAGTTGGGCAAGCTGAGGGAGCATCTGCCACAGAATTGCGAAGGAGCACCTTGCTGGATCTTCTAGCGCGGGGCGTGGCGGCGGTGGGTCGATCGACTCAAAGTTGCTGAGGTGACGCGGGCGCGGACTCCGGGCAGCTCTTGAGGACATCCT